TATTTTGAAATAGGAGGCTTTCTTTAGAACAGGGGAAAAAAATGGCCCATAAATGTGGAATTGTCACAAGGAGGCCACATCTGTCTTTGCAAATTCAAGTGGCTCAGAATTATCTGCAATTAATACTAAGCCAAATCTTTTTATAGTTCTGGTACAGACTTTGGGGTAAAGATAGCAGAATGAACATTTTCATTTATCTCCTTTTCCTCTTGAAATTCAACTCAAATGACAGTTACGGGAGCTTAAGTAGGGTAAGAACTCAAGAGGAACAGAACTCAGATGAACAACAAGAAACTTTTGGAAATTGGAAGCAGATGAACAAGTGAACTAATTCTAAGAAATCTTAAGGTAACAGAATAAACTGCTGAGGGCCCCAGGGTTGGGGATCAACGTGAGGCTGAAGATGGATCAGCTGGGATTCTGCATAAGAATCGTTAGGGTTTCCAGACCTCCCCGCCAAACTTCCCTGCTAGTGGAGACTTTGAGTCTTGTTTACCTTTGCCTAGGTTGGGAGCTATTAATCCTGGAGAAGGTCTCTAGAGAGACAGGAGACAGGTCTCTGAAGTGCTACCATCTAAAGAGGGTCACAAAAACACCCTGAGTAAACAAGGGGACAGCAGGATATTCATATAATTAATGATAAGCCCTGCTTTCCAAGTCCCCGGAGGCTACATAGCAGACAAGGTTAGAGTCTATGTATGAGACTGTGAGACCCTTCCTGGAATATGGCCAGCACAGGAGAAAATAGCTGGAAACAGTGTTCTCCCCCTCCGAGAGTAATCTAACACCCATAGGCTCACACCCTCGGGTCACTGGCTCAAAGGCAATCTCTTGCCCTCTGCTCCAAATGGACAGAATCAGAGGCACTGTGTATGGGTGGGGACTGAAATATAGTGCAACAAGTTCATGCTAAAATTTGAAAATCACTGGGTGTTTTTGTTTGCTTTCCAGTAAAGTCCACCCTGGGCCCAACCTTTCTTTCTCTTGTCAATATAAGCAATGAAGGGGAAGCAATATCACAAGAAGCATGAAATGAAAAGCAGAACTCTTAGAGGAGAAGAGAGGCGATGTAAGAAAAATCGAGACTGGGACAAAACGCTAATAATACTGTCAGAGAAGTGAGAAAAGACCCGTGAAGCCAGGAGAGAGAAACTTTTGTGGAAAATAGTAGCTGATGAGAAATAAAAATTATGACAGAAGCAACAGAGAATTCAACAAAAAAGAAAAAAGGAAGTAATGGGATAGAAACAATAGAAAACTCTTAGGCTTAGTTTAGGAGAAGATTGAAAAGATTGAAGTGTAAGTAATGATATCATGAGACATCCAGATAAAGGTGGTTGGTGAGCGAAGTTCTCAATGATACAAGTAAGAGATGCCTGCAGTGCTAACAAACATGAATTCCCAGATGGAAACAGCCCCCCCCCCCACCTTCTAGTGTTTGCCAACAGGTGAAAGTTGGCTTGCATCTAGACACATTGCCGTCAGACTCATGGAGTAAACCAAAAGGATGCTGCAAATGTCCAGAAAAAAAAAAAAAAAAGAAAAGAAAACAGGCCAAGAATGCAGAACCAGAATGGGTAGACTTCTCAGGAAACACATCCCTAAGGAAGTGTTTTGATCAAATGCAGGGACGAAATGAGCATTCAAATGTGAGGGCAAAGGCATTTAACATATGCTAAGGCTCCAAGGTTCTGAAGTCAAGAGGTCAAAGTCTCTAAGAATTGGACCATGCTATAGTAGTGCTGGCAACTGCTTCATAGAGGCATGACCCAAAGCACGCCAACCAAAGACTTGGTGATGACATCCACATCTGTTCTCATCTCCCCCAGCTGTGCTCTGCCCTGTCACCTGGAAGTCTTTCTAAAGGCAACTTCTGTAGTGGTTTGGAAAAAAGTGGCTCCCACAGACTCACATATTTGAATGCTTAGTACCCAGTTGATGGAAGTATTTGGGAAGGATTATGAGGTGTATCCTAGTTGAAGGAGATGTTACTGGGGGCTGGTTTTGAGGTTTCAAAACCCCATGCTATTTACAGCTAATCCTGCCTTGTGGTTGTTATCTCGGGACATGAACTCTTAGCTATTATTGCTCCAGCACCATGCCTACCTCCCTTCTGCCAAGCTCTTTGTGGTAGTTTGAATGCATCTGACCCCCATAAGTTAATAGGGAGTGGCACTATTGGGAGGTGTGGATTTGTTGGAGTGAGTGTGGTCTTGTTGGAGGAAGTATGTCACTGTGGGAGCAGGCTTTGAGGTTCCAGATATATTCAAGCCACACTCAGGGTCTCAATTCACTTCCTGATGCCTGCTGATCAAGACGTAGGACTCTCAGCTACAGCACCATGTCTGCCTGCATGCCCCCATATCCCACCCTGATAATAACAGACTAATCCTCTGAACTATAATCCACCCCATTAAATATTTCTATTCATAATAATTTCTGTGATTATGGTGTCTCTTCACAGCAATAGAAACCCTAACTAGTACTCTCTCCTCCATGACTGTCATGGGCTCCAATCTTCTAGAACCATGAGCCCCCAGTTAAATGTTTTCTTTCATAGGCTACCTTGATCATGGTGTTCTGTCACGGCATCAGGAAAGTCACGTGACGAGTTCCTCCAGTTCTTAGCACTGCTCACAGTGGCAGCTCTCTCTCCACCTTCATCTGGCCCTCACATTGTCTCCTGGAAGCCTCTTCGGGTGGTGTTTACACCTACCCTCTCAAGTGTGCATTAGCCTTTACACTGTGATACACACTGTGGTTTCATGGGGAAATCCATCCCACATGCTACCCATCCAGCTGGTAAAACTAGCAATAAGGAATTGTCACACCCACCGGTAATTGGCAGTCCCTTTGCTGCCCTCCAATTTCCAGTCCCCCCTGATCCTTGAAGATTCCAGCTCCTCCTATAAGACTTATCCACAGAATAGCAATCTCAGCCATGGGATTCTTGAGGTCCACTTTCATGTCTTGGAAGGTAATGGCAAATGAGAGGTGCCACTATGAGCTTCTGGGCGGAATGAGCACGGAGTACTTCTCTGATTAGGTTTGCTGGAAACGATTCCCATATGGTTGCCAGAATTTCCTTCACTAGTATGTGAGTATTACACAGGACACAGAGGCAGTAATAGGCCATGGTTCGGGGCGGCTACAGACATTATCTGATGCCGTGGATAGGGCAGTAGAAAGCCAAGGAAGATAATCCAGAAGGTGGAGGCAAGCCTTTGAGTCTGGTTGATGCTGCCAAGAGCATAACGCGGAATATACAGAACATGGCAGTAAACACTCATGTTGGCAAGCAGGTCCTCAACTTGAAAAAAGAAAAGTAATAGATTCAATAAATGCGGCACCTTGATTATGATTTCTCTTGTTCAATGTAATGAACAGTGTTAAAACAATTTCAGACCTTTGTTATATCTGCCTAACCCGGCAAACACCACTCTCAATGGCCAGGGTTACTTTTGCAGTAGATGAACCCTTGATTTCCATAGCTCCACTGCAAAAACAAGAAACAAAAGGGTAGGGTATTAGAGGCCTACAACTTCACACGCTCGTCTCCGACTAAATAAAGGTATCCCCGTAAAACCCAAGTCAAATCAGAAAAATGCGTAAGCCGCGGAAACCGGAAGTCCCGACCAACCCTTTATTGTTAGTCATGTTAGAAAACATATAACATAGAAAAGATAAACAGAGACACTGCGGGTGTCCAGGGAATCTGGAAATGTCACTGGACGTTAGTCTTCTCCAGAATTCCTTGTAGGCATTGTTACTAGGAGTTACCTGTCTATGAAACCAAGGCGAAATTGGGAGGGGGCGGCCTTGAACTGGCCTCTCTTTGTCTTCACCATGGTTGGTTAATCATGACTTTTGGCTCAAGCCTTCGAGTCCCATGAAGAACATGGAGAGACATAGCCATCCTTCCAGATGCTGTAAATAAAGTACAAGCTTACAAGTGAGTTCTAGCAGGGCCAGCTTGCCGCTCTGCTGCTGCTTTGTAGTGGCACCTTGAGCGGCACAGTTTTCTCACATGGAAAACAGAAGCCACGCTGTCCTCTTCATAGGGCTGTGGTGAGGATGAAATTTTGCACGTATGGCAGCCACCTCACATTAAGCACTGTGCCATTGGTTGTTGTTGATGCCATTGCTAGCAAAGTCAAATTGCTCTGCCTCTAATCAAGGTTCATAGTGTATAATATATACATGAAGGACACTCTGTGGGCTTAGGACTTATCAGCAACAAGCACTGGTTTGCAAGAAACAAAATAAAAGTAGTTCAGACTGTATCTATTGATATATAGAAATCATATTTAGCTTCATAAATTGAATTTATCATCAATTTGGCTAACTGATTAATGTAGCAATTAAGAATTGTTTGGAAAAAAAAGAATTGTTTGGAATTACATAATGTCGCATGCATGTAATGCCAACATTTAGAAGATGGAAGTAGTGAGATCATGGGTTCCAAACCAGTTTGTGTTACATAGTGAGTTTCAGGTCAATCTGTACTACGTAAAGATCCCTGTTGGTGTTCAAGGAATCTGTAAATGTCACTGGATATTAGTCTTCTCCCAGAAGTCCTTTTAGGGGGTCACATTTTTTATGATATCAAGCCAACAATCATCAAGAACTTTTCAATGTAAAGTTAACTGAGGATGGACGGGGAACTTCCATGGTTACAAGGATGGATGTGCATTTCCATAGTGATGAAGGCTCATTTTCATGCAGAGATGCCCTGGGGACCAGGAGAGGAATGCTTGACTAGAGCACCCCAGAGGTGCCCAGAGAGCTGGGAAATGGGTTGCACTGATGACCTTATAAAGACTGGGAACCCGAATAAACACAAACCCCGAGATTCCAAATACACTTTGCAGGTCGCAAGTGCCCCTAACAGTTCTTGACTTTTTCTTGAGTTTTTTTGATCTTATATCACACATTAAGCAATTGATTCTATGAATGCACAATAGAAGGAATCCCCCTAACTTGTTCATTTCCTATTTCAGGTTTCTCTGGGTACACTGTCCTGCTCCTCACTTCCCTTGTGCATTTGTATTCCTGCTACTCCTTGGGAAATACCTCCCCCTGACTTTTAGAGGAAGGTAGCAGAGGCTTCGAAACTCCCCCTGATGGCTGCAAAGTCAAGGTGAGGAGGCACCAGTACTTTGCAGGCATGAGTAGGTATTTTCAGAGCTACCATGTCCAGCCTACGAGTGAGCAACATCCCATCCACAGAGGAAGGAGCCGAATGACTGCTATGCCTGTGCATTTAGTGAATTGATGCCAATTCCAGGCCTCGGAGGATCGTATTCTTAGCTGCTTCATTCGGGTTGCTCTAATATTGACACGGCCTTGGAAATGTGGAAAGTGAGCCTCTTCAAAGACTGCAAAGAAAAAGGGGGTTTAGAAGAACATTTACATGATGCTATCCCTTGGGTTCCAGCTGCCGGACTGAATTAGCATCAAACCCTTGCCCTGGCATAGGGCTGTGAGAGTTGATTTTCCTGGCCCCACACAATGACCACAGTCAATATGGATGCGGCCTGGTTTTCATCTGGAAGAAATTTACATTTGATCCCACTCCTCTGCTTGACTGCATCAGCGAGGCCCACATATTTGTACAAATGCCTCCACTGTTCTTCTCCCTGATGACTTGACCGTAAAAATTCCCTCCCTCAACATTTCTTCCTACCCATACAAACCTCAATTTTTGAACTCAAACTTGTATCCATAAGGAGTTCGGAGGAAAAGGCTGAGTGATGAAACTTTGTATCAAAAGTAAACAACTGGTAGGTAGATGGGGTGGCCCTACTTTGTTTATTGTTGTTTTAGTACAAAATCAGTCATCGTAGTCAGGCATTTCGAGGGTATAAAGGTTAAATGAGGCCAGTAAGATAATTAAACAGGTAAAGCGGTGTTGTTGAATATTAATTGAAGATGTGTTAACATTTGTTTATGCTGTGGAATGTTTGTTTAAGGATGCAAAGGTATGTTGCATTTTTTTATGTTGCATTTGTTTAACTCTGTGAAGCTGTGTTACTTTACCTCCCTAAAACACCTGATTGGTCTAATAAAGAGCTGAATGGCCATTAGGTAGGCAGGAGAAAGGATAGGCAGGGCTAGCAGGCAGAGAGAATAAATAGGAGGAGAGATCAGAGAAAAGAAGGGGCCAGCCACACAGCAGTCATGAAATAAGGAAAGAAAAGATAAACAGAAATAGAGAAAGGTAAAATGCCAGAGGCAAAAGGTAGATGGGATGATTTAAGTTAAGAAAAGCTGACAAGAAATAAGCCAAGGTAAGACCAGGCATTAGTAAGAAAGAATAAGACTCCGTGTGTGATTTATTTGGGAGCTGGGTGGCGGGTGGCAAGCCCCCAAAGAGTAAAAAACAGCCAACTACAAAGGTACCTTCAGCCAAGCTTGTTGAGCTGTGTTAGATTCCCCCAGGACCCACAAAGTAGGAGAATATATACACACATTTATTGACTCAGCTTATTCAATATAGTCAAAATAGTAACAAAAGACGTCTCACATCTGAGAGGCTGAGAAACCAATAACAGTGGCCCAGTCTTTTGTATCAAGCTTTCTTTTTAGACTATGTTTGGATTGACAGTCTGCAAATAATGATCCAGAGACTTATTATTAATTATGAAAGTATGGCCTTTACCTTAGGCTTGTCTCAATTAGCTCTAATAACTTAAATTAACCCATATTTTTAAAACAATCTTGCACCTCACATCTCCTTCCTGTGTCTAACTGGTGATCTGCCTCTCTGTCTCTGGAAGTCCTGCCTAACCTCTTCCTGCATAGCTATTGGCCAGTCAGGTCTTTATTAAACCAATCAGAAGGAGCCTTGGCAAAGGCACATCTGCACAGTGTAAATGAACATTCCACAACAGTCCTGGATGCCGGGTACCTCAGCAATCCCAGTGTGGCCATGGAAACCTGGGAGTTTTCTAGAGAGTCACTGGTCCTCTCAGTCGATGACGGAAACACTGGTTCTAAGAGCAGTGAAGGGAACCAGCAACAACGGGGTAAATTAACTTGGTGGCGAGAGGGTAGGTCAGATAAGCAAAAGGCAGATAAACTGCTTCTTTCTTGTCCTAATTTGGGCCACTGCCTGACCGTGCTGCTCACATTAAGGGTAGGTAGATCTTGCCACACCAATTAAGGCAATCAAGACAATTCCTCAACTGAGAGCTCCTGCTCTGGGGATTCTAAACTCTGACAAACTGACATCTAAAACCAGTCACCACAGGGCCATACTACTTACTGCTGAGCTGTTGGCTGCTAGCAGATTTGGGGAAAGAGGGAGGCATAGTATCCTGGCATGTGCCCACTGGTGAGCCCACTTGCCTCTCATGGATATTTCCACACCCATTGTGACACAGGTGGCCCTGTTTCTTCCATGTGGGACACAAAACAAAATGTCATGAATCTGGGAAAGAAATTAAGGAAGAAGAGAGGCTGGAAGGGGAAAGGGATAGAAGGAAGTGATAGAGGGCTGTGTGTGTGTGTGTGTGTGTGTGTGTGTGTGTGTGTGGCAATGTTAGTAATTAGCTTTTAAAATCAGTAATTTTTAATGAAAACAAGTTACCAAAAATCTGAAGCAGAATTTTGAGACTCATTAAGACAAGTTTAATGAGGAAAAAAAAGTTGTCAAATGCTCACACTCAGAGTCGCCATGGGAACTTCAGAATGGACGTACAAGAAATGCACCATTAATATTACATATCATGGTCTGCCCCTTCCTGCTGCCTGGGCCTCGGGGATTCAATTCTACTTTCCTGTTGGCCTCTTCCTCCCACTGCCAGTGTTGATTAGAAGCTTAGTGCTCTGTGCGTTGAAGGGGAACTCCTTTAGGGGAGTGCTGGCATATGAATAGCAAATATAAGGGTGTGTTGATGTCTTCCTATGAACCGCTACTGTTCTGAACGTTTCATTCACGTGTCTATTGAGGGCATCCTATATGTCCATCATATCTGAATTGTATCGACTCGTGTATCCAATGCTTCTTCTCTTCTGAGTCAAGAATTGTTTTAACTGGTCTTCATGTATTCAGAAAGAACTTAGTAAGTGCCTCCTCTGTGTGTTCGATGCTATTTGTTCCATTATTAATTTATTTATCTTTCAATACTGAGAGTTTCCTGTCATAAGCAGATTCAGGAGCTGGAGATACAATGAGAGCCAATCAGAGACTCTGTCTTTATGGAAATTGCTCTCCATTGGAGATTGCCAGGAAATACATAAATTAAAACAAAAATAGCCTATAGCTATCAAATGTGATTAAGTTCTACAAAGAAAAAGTAGGTGAAGCAAACAAACGTCAGAAGGTGCAGGCTGCTAGTAGTTTTGTTTGTTGAGACGCAGTCAGAATGGCCCGGAACTCACTAAGTAGCACCAGCTGGTCTCAAACTCAGTCTTCCTGACTCAGCCTCTCAAAGTGCTGGGATCATAGTCACGTGCTTCTTGCCTGGCTAACACTGCTGTATTTAGGCATCGTCGGTGAAGTGGCAATTGAGCAGAGACCTGAAGGAAGTCAACGAGCAAGCCAGAGCAAAATTAGGTACAAGAAACAGTTTGCACACACATGCTGAAATGTGGGCACACTGGGTGTTCATGAGAAAGAGCAATTGAGGAAGGAGGTCATGTGACCAAGAGGCCAAGTGGGGCATGAGAGCAGGCACAGCTAAGAAAGAGGTGTGGTGGAGCCTGGAAGACTCTAGAAGGACACAGGCTTTTGTTCTGAGCTGAATGAGAAAGACACACTAGAGAATTGTGACCATAGGAATTAAACATTCTTAAAAGCATCCTCTAGTGATGGATATAATAATTATCTTGGTTCAATAATTTTATAAAACATCTATAAATATACATGTATATGAGTATGCATCTATCATGAGATTGTTTCAACCTCATAAATAAGTGCAATTATTCTTTGTCAATAAAAATCTTAACTATTCTCTTCTTGGTCTGTTGCAAATGGACTATAGAAGAGCAGGTGAACACCAGGGGACCAGTTAAACGGCCATTGCAGTACGACAGGCACGAAGAGCTGGTGGTGACTCTTGCCTTTAATCACATCAGAGCCGAGAAGAGGTGATCAGTATCCAGTTACACTCGGCAGATCCAAATTGTTGATGGAAGTCAAGATGGCCTCAAGGATATTGCCTGAACAGCTAGAAGAACAGAGTTGACACTGACTGAGATGAGAAAATGGCCTGAGGAGCCATTCAGGGAAAGAGGTGAAATGAGAGTTCATTCCAGCACATTCTGACACGTCTGCATAAAGAACCTGAGGTACACATAGGTCGGTGTGTAGTTCATACGTGAGTCCAGGCTATACCGAGGTGGGTATGACGTTTAATGTCTCGGGACCGACAAAGGAACCAAGTTTAGAGTGTGGTGGAAGACAGGCCAGGGCTGAACTCTGAGCTGTGTTATTGTTTAGAGAATGAAGAGACATCATGAGCAGAGCTGAAGATGGAAGGAAACCACTATAAACTTGTTCTGGAAGCCAAGTACTGTGGTCTCACTGTGTCCCCCCAGATGTTCCTGTGTTAAAAACTTAACCCCTAACCAATGTATTTGAAGGTGGGACTCTTGGGAGTAATCAGTATTCGTTGAACTCATGAGAGGGATGTCCCACGGTGGCATTGCTGGGTCTATTAATAGATGTGGGACCCTAAAAAGTGGCTGACTGTATCAACATGGCGTGTCCTCCTCCATGTTATAATACAAGTTTCTCCCCATGTGTTAGGCAGGCTTTGCTGCCGTGCTCCCAGGCTTCTCGGTAGCCAGAACTACAGCCTAAATAAATCTGTTCTTTAGAAATGTGCAGGCTGCTGAACTGTGCTATTCATAACTGCAGCAGAGATTGAGGAGGCCATCAAGAAAAGAAGTGCTCAAGGAAGGGGGAAAATCAACCATGCCAAATGTCACAGATAGGCCATTTCCAAGCTGTCAGGAGCCTTAGCAACATTCAAACAAGTGCTGAGAGGAAATATGGGTTATGTCATGTTGGGAAAGACACAATTTCTGTTCTTAATTCTGAGGGCTTTCTGACAGGTGGAAGGACAGGCGTGGGAAGGGCTGAATGCCGCCGGATCTAGATAATCTTGACTTTCCTCTTCCATTTTTTCCCTGGTAGGTTTATCTTTCCCAAACAAAGGTGCAAGAGCTGGACTTCCGGCTGACACCTAAACTGACCTTAGCGTCCCCAAGCAGAGCAGGCAGGCAGGCTGCCAGAATCAAAACTGCCTTTATTCTGGACTTCCCGGGACTCAGGACAAGATGGGACCACCCAGCACACTGGTGGTCACTTACCATCCAGTCTCGAAAGACAGACACTAGCTGGACAGAATCCTTGGCCTGGGGCCCTCAATCTAGAGCTATTGTCCTAGGGTCAGCAAGTTCTCCCTGTGGTAGACCACTCTGGGCATCTGAGCAGTTCTTTTTTAAAGATCCCCCATCATTATGGTGAAGACACGTATGCTAGTTAAGTCCGCTGTCAACTTTATATTAAGAATCAACTGAAACCCACACTGCTGGGCATTCCTGTGGGGGAATTTTCTAGATCAGATTTTTAGACTCAGAAAGATCTACTCTAAGTCTGGGCCATGCCTTCTGGTGGCAGCTCACAAGAAAGGACACAGAAGAAAGGAACTTAGCATTTTGCTTGCTTGCTGCACTCTTGCTGGCAAGCTTGACTCTCCTGCTGCTGCTGTGGAAACTCCCATTCCTTAAGGATTCCAGCATAAATGGGAGACCATCACCATCCCTCCAGGAATCCTGCAGGACTCCAGCACCTGATAAAGATTGCTCAGACATACAGTTCATGGACTGAGCGACAACCTTATTCTCCACCCTTCTCTCATGAAACCACCATTGTTGGACTACCCAGACCCACATCCTGCAAGTCATTCTAATAAACCCCATTTCATATGTCTATCCATCCCATCTGTTCTGTTCCTTTAGATAACCCTAATGTGACACACGCGTCACTGTGATTTCGTAGAACACTAAGAGTGAACACTCATGTGAATTTTGGACCTTAGATGATAGGAGGTGTGAGTGAGCCACTGGGATGGGGATGCCGAGGGTGGGGATGCCGACGGTGGGCTGCTGAGGGTGAGGATGCTGAGGGTGGGGATGCTGAGGGTGGGATGCTAAGGGTGTGGATGCTGAGGGTGTGGATACTGAGGGTGGGGATGCTGAGAGTGGGATGCTAAGGGTGTGGATGCTGAGGTTGAAGTGATAAATTGCAGGGTTGGAGAAACAGAAGGTGTAGAGAAAACCTCAGTGCCTTCTGCTCGATTTTGTTAAGAATCCAAAACTACTCTAAAAATTATAGACCTAAAAAACCTTTCTTACCCCCAGCAAAGAAGCTATCTGCAGTTGATAGTTGCTGGGAGAGGAAGAGCCAGCTTTCTTTAAGAATGCAGTTTCTGGTAAGTCAACCATACTCCAGTGGAAGACCACACGTCCAAGAATATTTGGGCAGCACAAATTGGATGTGATGGTTTTAAAAAAAAAAATAAAAATAAAGAGAAAAAAAAGTTGGCTTTTCAGGGAAGAGGGAATGGATATGAAGGAATTGGGGGAGGGTGAATATGAACAAAACCTATTTTAAGATAGCCTCAAAATTAGTTTTGCAAACAAAAACAGGCTAAACAAAAACAGACAGAATCTTTTGGGATGTACACAAATGCTCTTACTACGGTTTAACTTCAGCTATCTGGCTCGATGCTCATCCTACACACTCACTAGGTAAGTATCTTGCCATCTTTTCCTTCATCTCTTTTCAGAAAAGAAAAATGGTTTTCAAAGTAATTTTGACATAATTTCAATTATTGGGTAAGTATTAATGACACACTTTCGTTTATACAATGCCGAGTACACAGACCACCTCCAGGAATCAAAGTTAGTGCAAAAACCCGGATTTGGGGCTAGGAATAGAGTTCAATTGGTAGAGTACTTTCAAGGCATGAAGAAAATCCTGGGCTTGATCCACAGGACAGCGTAGACCAGGCCCTGGCCTGTAATTCTAGTCCTTTGGGGGTAAAGGCAGGAAGTTCAGAAGTTCAAGGCCATCCTCAGCTACACAGTGAGTTCCAGGCTACAGGTGGCACTGTCTCAAAACAACAAAAAACCAAGGTTTTATTTGAGGCAGTTCATGGTTCTACCAAACTTTCTCTTCTCTGTTCTCATCTACAAACCCAAAGTACAGCTAACATTCTCGGGAGGCTCTCAACTCAAGTTGAGCACCCCAAACCAGAGCTCAGCCAACCCCAGCATATGGAAGAGCCTGTTAGTCTGTAGCTAAGGCAATTTCGGCTGCAAGTCCAGCCCTTCTGCTGATGGAGAAAGAAGCCGTGATGAAGGCTGGGAAAAACAGTCCTCGGTCCCAAGTCCTTTCCTCCTTCCTTCCATCCTTCAGTTCTTCCCTCTCTCTACCTCCCTTTGTCTATCCTCCTTTCTTTCCCTCCCTCCCTTTCTTCCTCTCTTCCTTCCCTCTCTCCCTCCTTTCCCCCTTTTCCTTCTTTCTTCTTTCCCTTCCTCCCTCCCTTCCCCTTTTCCTTCTTCCTTCTCTCCTTCCTTTCTCTCTTTATTCAAAGATCTGTCTAAACTCACTTCCACAGTTCTGATGACTAACTCTTTGTTTCAGAGTATATCCTTGAGCCCTCCTCGGCCATTGGCCTTACCTTGTCTTGTATTGTGGGACCCACACCCCAGCTAAGAACTCAGGTACGAGCCCCTCTGCCATCCAGCCCACAGACTCAGGCTGAGCCCATTCACTCTTATGCTGGGCTTGTCCCGACATTCTTTCCCACACTCACACACACTGCTCCCTGGAGAGGGAAGCCCGTGGAGTGACCTTCGACACGCCGTGCTGCAAGTAAGAGCACTTTCAAACCATGAAGAGCCTGGCTCTGTACAGCAGCTCTAGCATTAAAAAATAGTTTAATTAAAAATGCAATCTGTTGGGAGGAGACGGAAACTTTTTTTTTCTTATTCTCAATAAAAAAAATACAAAAAAAATGCAATCTGTTTTAAGAGAGTATGAAATTAAAAACATTTTAGGGGAATGTGATCAATGTTCCCTTGGATTTCGAAAGTATTAAAATGCTTTCTAAGAAAGAAAGAAAAATGGCCTCGGGGCATACCACCCGCAGTGAGCATAATCTGGTCTGCTCCTGGAAGCTAATCAGGGTCAGGTTGATTAGGATGTGGGTGGAGAAAGGAAAGTGGGTCTGAGAATTGAGGAGATACAGCTATGTTTTCATTCGCTTTCCACCACATGCTTGCCCGCTCACTGACCCCCTTGTCACCTCTCTGTGTCCAGATCACTGGATAGCCTGTGTTTGGTGGGACAAAGAGAAAATGATGTTGATTCTCCCACCACACCCTCTACCCTCAACCAGTCAGTCAGCCCTCCTTGCACCAGCCTGTGATATCATTTTAGACAATACTTGTGGAGCTCTGGTCACTCTTCCACTTTATAAAGGCTAATAGAACCCAAAGCAAAGTGTTGCTCTGTCACGTAGCATAAGGTCTCTTTCCTCTCCTACCTGTCAGTCAACTCCGGTCAGATGCACTGTCTTTTTTTTCTTCCCCTTGCCCACTGTCTCAGCTAAGTATCCCATCAGGCCCTGGCCTTGTTCTGGAGAGTGTGGTTTTCTCCGGTTTTCACACACACACACACACACACACACACACACACACAACACGCATGCACTCTTTCTCAGTATGTGCTGGGATACACATACTGGCAATTTCTTTCGGAACCCTATTTTAGATTCCTTAGGGACACCTCTTCTCCATTATTACTCTCTGTACATCACTTCCAATTCGCAGCTCTTACAAACTTGTATGTATTTCTGCATGAGGACGTATCCTCAACAGAGGCAGTACAATTTTAGGTGACTTCTTAGGATGCTACCTAACTCTATCTAGGGATGCAGCTGACCTCTTGGCTGTGCTCCCTCTGTGGGACTCCTTAGCTGTAATTCCTTCCAAACTGGGGGATTACAGGATGCTCCCACCACTGTCTTCCTACCTCCCCAGGCCACCAATGAGAGCTTTGGCAGTCCTTTGCCTTCAGGAAATTTTGTGTGTATGGGGGGGGGTGGATTTCACACCCCTAGGAGAATCTCTCCTGGGGCTTTGTAATTTGTAGAGCGCAGTCAACCAACCTCTAGCAAGTACGGGAGATGACTAGCTTTCCTCTTTAGAAGACAGTGTTCCTTTGTAGAGGTCCTTCTTCACCTGTCCCAGTAGACATAGGTGGAGTTCAGAGGCAGGGAACTGAGAAAGGCCATGATGCTTAGTGGTTCTACACGTTTGAAAGAAATCTTTCTTTTCTTCTAAAAGTCACAAACCTCTTGTGCCTGGTTGGTTTCTCCCCAAAACTGGACAGCCCTCTTCTGCCTAGTTTCCAGGTCTCTGAATTCCCGGTGCCTGTGGTCAGCCCATCTCACTAGAATACAGAAGACACTTTCTCTCCTTTTTCCCTAAACAAAATGACACAGGTGGCCAGTTTCTCCTGCTTGACTCTGTGGGCTCTGCAGACTGATGGACACGCTGCAGCTACACAGATGAACAAAACCTACTCCGGAGCCTCAAAGAGTCAGAGCTCCTGGAAGAACTCAACATGGCTGAGTTTACCAGAAGACAGTGGAATGATATGGTTCAAAACCAAGTCTGCAGCCCCCGTGTTGGGCTTGGAACTATCACTTAGCCATTTACTCAGTGTCTGACTCTGGGAAAATTAAATCTCTGCACCTTCCTCTCTTCATCTGGTAGGGAGGGAGTCCTATTGTCTGGGTTTTGTGATGACCAGGAGTTCAAGCATAAGGGCTGAGGTTGGAGCCCTATGCACAGCCCAAAGTCCTTGCCGTTTGTAGGCTGAAGCTAATCTGAACTTCTCTTCTCTCTCTCTCTCTCTCTCTCTCTCTCTCTCTCTCTCTCTCTCTCTCTCTCTCTCTCTCTCTCCCACACACACCTCCCTACTGCAGGCTTGTGGTCTTCTCTGTCTGGCTCATGTATATAGCCCTGTAACACCCAACTTCATACAAAAGATGACCATAGGGCTCTCTTTAAAGATCTGCCCCTTTCACTTTGTTATCGGCTTATTTGCCACAGAAGTTAATGTTTCCAAGTGCTTTGAACTCTGCGATTGTGCTTCATCCATCTGGTATGGTAGAAATTTAATTCTTCAGTTGGTAGGTTCAGAATGACTGGGTCATTGGAGTGGAAGCTCAGTCAAAGGATCCCCTTTCTCCTGGCTAAGTGTGATAGAAAACTGTCCCTTTTCTCTTTTGAGTGCCCCCACTTGCCTCTCGGCTTTCTGTCCTAACTGAGGCAACACAAGATTTTCGCCAGCCATGGCTGTTCAACCCTGGAGGAGCTCCCCGCTGTCTCAGCTAGGTTTCTATTGCTGCGATAGAAGCACCATGACCAAA